CAGGTACTTGTGCATACCAGGGAAGCCCTTCTTCCACTGAGCCATCTCCCCAGCCCAAAAATTTGCATTTTAATGGAGGCATAATTAGAATTAAAGGGTTGACGCTGGAAGGGACAGCCCTCCCTGATCCCCACTCCGCCCCTTCGGGAGCCCCCACCTCAGGGCCCCTGAGGCCCCAGAACCAGCTGTTCTCCCCTACCCTCTCCAAAACCTGGGTTGACACCCTTTCTTTATGGTCCTCAGGCTCAGGTGGCACAGTGTGTCCCCACTGCCCAGATGGGGCTACTGAGGCCCAGACAGAGAGGGGACGGTTGAAGGTCTCACAGTGAGGTCACCACCCTCCAAATGGTCTGGGGCCTCCTGGCTGGGGGCAGTACTGTCCACTCCCCGAAGGCCCACACCCTCCAAGCTCAGCCTCTCCGTGATCCTCTCAGGACCCATAGCTGCTTGGTAGTAGAGCCGCGTCTGGCTGCCCAAGGTAGACCGTGTGAGTGGTGCACACCCGTGACCCCAGGACTTGGGAGACTGAGGCAGGAGGATCACTCCAAGTTTCAGGTCAGCCTGGGCTACACAGTGTGTGAAACCCTGTCTCAAAAAACAAAAAAGAGGGGCTGGTGAGATGGCTCAGTGGTCTAAAGCACCTACTTAGAACAAGCTTAGCAAAGCACAGGGACCGCGGTTCAATCCCCCAGCACCACATGCCAGCCAGCCCCGCCCCCTGGTGGGCTGAGCTGGCCACACACACACACACACACACACACACACAAATAAAATTTAAAAAAAAAAAAGACTGGGCTACATGTGTAGCTCAGTGGTAGAAGGTTTGCTTAGCATATGCAAGGCCTTGGACTCAATTCTTTATTTTCTTTTGTTATTTTGTGTGTGTGTTTATTTGTTTGTTCATTAGCTTGCTTGCTTTTTGAGACATGGTCTGGCTATGCAGTCCAGTCTGGCCTGGAACATGGAGCGAGCCTCCTGTCTCAGCCTCCTGAGCACTGGGATTACAGATGTGCATCACCATACCTGGCTGGGTGAGATGCTGAAACTGGCAAAAAAACAAGGACCCTATTTTTAACCCTCAGCAGGGAATTTCCAGCAGCTTCTCCCTGCCTCTAATGTCTGGGTGTGCACGTATGCGTACACACAGGTTACTGGAAATTGAGCCCAAGGCCTTTGTGCTGAATTACAGTCCAGTCCTTTAATCCTTATTACTGAGACAGGATCTTACTATGCTGCCCAGGCTGGACTCCAACTTGCCACCCTCCTGCTCAGCCTTGAGTCCTGGGAGTGCACCATGGCCAGCGGGTGAGATTGCTGCGCTACATTTAGCTCACAAATGCAGAGACTGAAGCACGGAGAGGTACCATGATTTTCCCAGTGCAGGAACTAGTGAGCTGGGTAAACCAGGAGTTCAGCTTGCTCAGCTGAAATCCACATGGCAGAAGGCGGGAGGTAGGAGCTGCCACCACCCTGGCCCCGCAGGACGGCTTGAGACACTGCCCAGAACCTGGTTCTCAGTGGGACAGCAGCCCCAGGAGGGAAGCCAGCTCCTGTGTCAGCCCTAGACTTCAGGACCCAGCCCCTAGCACTGCCCACCACCCGAGGTCACCCACGCCACCCGTCAGTCCCCACCACCACCACAGGGCACTGTGGACCTGGGAAACAGGAGTGTTTGCCTGTGACCCCTTTGGGAAAGAGAGCCCCAGTCTTCACAGAGCTCCAAGCTGCACAGGGTCACAGTGGAGAGATGGAAGCAGCAGGCAGGCGCAGGAGCTGCGACCTGTGGAAAGACAATTGGAAATTCCATTCGACTCTCAATTTGAAGGTGGCCAGAGGCCAGGAGCATGGGAACTGGCAGGGAGAGAGGCGAGTCAGAGACACAGAAACCTGGAGCCCGCAGGAGCCAGGGAGTCTGAGACCGGCCTGGCTGGACAGACACAGGCCAGGGACCGGCAAGGACAGCAAGAGGCACTCAGGACTCCCAGCACCACGACACAACTCAGAATCACCTTGCACCCCCACAGTGCGATCTCAGGCTCTCACAGGGGCATGCACATCCACGCACTCACACTTTAGCACACTCATGCTCACACATAACCACACACGAGGAGCCTCATGG